AAATAATCAAGGAGATAAAATGTCTAAAGTTGTTACTGATAAAAGGCATAGAATTATTGTAACTATTTTACATACAGTATAACAAGAGATCATCTGCAAACAAGGATAGTTTAGTATTAATTGGTCCAGTTTGGATTTGGAGATGGCTGGTTTCTCCCACAAGGCAGGGGCAAGGTGTTCCATGGTTCATACGTAGAGGAGTGGGGAAAGGGGACACCCTTGATGGGTTCCATTACATATTTGGGATTTTGGATTACAGGGATCTGTTTACACATACTCTGGCTTACGGGAAGGAATATGAGCCAGGAGAAACATTGGGACCCAGACCTAACTGAAGAAGAATATATTTTAGTTAAAAGCAACTGACCTTATCAAATTACTTTAAAGGTTCTGGTTTTATGTATGAACAGCAGAGTTTTCAAGATGTTACAATGCCTTGAAAAAGTATTTATCTATTTCCTTCCACTTCACAATTACGTTGCACTTTGTGTTGGTCTATAGGTGTCCGTTTATGAACCAGCAGTAAATGATCACTGCTCAGTTCTCTGGAATTCTCGGAGAACACAGTTCTCCTGTGAATGCCGTTTATGAAGCATATGTAGATCAGTTCTCCAAATGAAGGGGAGAACGGTCTACAAACGCTGGAAAACGGCTGATTTTACTATAATCTCAAGAGATTACAGTAAAAAAATCAGTTTACTAAGCAGAGGTAAATTATCGCTGCTTAGTTTTGCGGTCCCTCCGATTCTCCAGCTCTGGGCTGGAGAATCTGGAGGGAGAACACAGATCTCCAGTGAAGAGCTGAACAGTTCTCCTGGGTGTCATAAACTGTAAATGACCAGAGAATAGCTGTGATCCTCTGAATCGCAGCTATTCTGTGTGTCAAAAACGGACACCAAAATCCCAATAAAATACATTTATGTTTTTGGCTGTAATATGACAAAATGTGGAAAATTTCAAGGGGTATGAATACTTTTTCAAGGCACTGTATCTCTGTCCTCACAGCCTTGGATAAACCCTACTAGTCTGTGAGTTTGGGAAGAAGGGGGTCAGAGAGATTTAGCAATCTGTTTTGAGTATAAATTCAGGTCTACTCTTTTTGAGAAATTAGGGAAATAACTGAAGTATTAGGTGTGGTCTTTGTCAGGTCAGGTATAAAAGAAATGTGCCTCCAGGGCCTGATCTGGGTTTTTTGTTTCTGCGGATATAAAATTGAACATCTTAGTCAGAAAAGACATAGGATGTTTCTTTTTGTTTTCAAGGTACGGGCCATCATGCCTGGGAACTGACAAACTGACAGATTGTGGATTGAAAAAGTTTATTAAATGAAACCTTCTTCTCTAAATTAAAGTATGTATGGCTGTGTCAGAAAAGGAAGGCATTGAGTCCCTCCTGTGTGTCATTCTGTGTGTGTGTGTCAGTTTCAGCCACTGAGCTCTGTATACAACAGGCGTTTTCAGTAAAATGGTTATAATTAGCAAACATATGAAAAGCAGCCTAGAGCTCCACCTATTGGCTGAAATGTAAATATGAAATAAACAGACAATATTTTATATTTTATTTTACTCTAATAAAAACAAAATATAGTTTTAAGTCCTTAATATTATAAATAAATAAGAAAATATATACAAAAACTCTAGGGTGTCCATTCATGTCAAGAATGTTCCCACCCCTTTAAATACATGCAGCTGCAGACCAGAGAATCTCCTATCTCCTACTTGCAGCTTATTGGCCAACAATGACAGACAACTTCCAACTTTAACCAAGTTCAAAATAAGTGTATGTGGTTTGGACAAATAACTCTACATCCAGGTAAAACTGTATTTTAGCTTTAGATAGGGGATTTAAAACTGGGGGAATCAATGGTCAGAGTTAAAGTGGTTGCAAACCCTTACATATACGTACCCTGTGAAGTGACCGGCCTCAGGTGATACACAGAGATGAAACAAATGCTTCTACATAGGTTGTACCTGTTTATTAGCAGCCTTCTCTTCTCTACCTTGGGAATCAATGGTGGAGAAGGATCTGGGAGTTCTGGTAGACCACAAGCTTAATAATGGCATGCAATGCCAAGCTGCAGTTTCTAAAGAGAGCAAAATCCTCTCTTGTATTAAAAGAGGTATAGACTCCAGTGAGAGAGATATCATTTCCCCCCGATACAAATCATTAGTAAGACCTCATCTGGAATATGCAGTTCAGTTTTGTGCACCAATTCACAAAAAGAACATTGGGGAACTGGAGAAAGTACAGAGAAGGGCAACCAAACTGATAAGAGGCATGGAGGAGCTCAGCTATGAGGAAAGATTAGAGGAACTGAATTTATTCTCTACTGAGAAGAGGAGATTAAGGGGGATATGATCACCATGTATAATACATAAGGGGGGGATATGATCTCCATGTATAATACATAAGGGGGATATGATCTCCATGTATAATACATAAGGGGGGATATGATCTCCATGTATAATACATAAGGGGGATATGATCACCATGTATAATACATAAGGGGGGATATGATCTCCATGTATAATACATAAGGGGGATATGATCTCCATGTATAATACATAAGGGGGATATGATCACCATGTATAATACATAAGGGGGGATATGATCTCCATGTATAATACATAAGGGGGATATGATCTCCATGTATAATACATAAGGGGGGGTATGATCTCCATGTATAATACATAAGGGGGAGATATGATCTCCATGTATAATACATAAGGGGGGATATGATGACCATGTATAATACATAAGGGGGGATATGATCTCCATGTATAATACATAAGGGGGGATATGATGACCATGTATAATACATAAGGGGGGATATGATCTCCATGTATAATACATAAGGGGGGATATGATCTCCATGTATAATACATAAGGGGGGATATGATCACCATGTATAATACATAAAGGGGATATGATCTCCATGTATAATACATAAGGGGGATATGATCTCCATGTATAATACATAAGGGGGGATATGATCACCATGTATAATACATAAGGGGGGATATGATCTCCATGTATAATACATAAGGGGGATATGATCTCCATGTATAATACATAAGGGGGGATATGATCTCCATGTATAATACATAAGGGGGGATATGATCACCATGTATAATACATAAGGAGGGATATGATCTCCATGTATAATACATCAGTGGTTCATATAGAGAACTCGGTGTAGAGCTATTCACCCTGAGGTCATCACAGAGGACAAGGGGGCACACTTTATGTCTGGAAGAAATTAAATTGAATCTCCAAACATGGAAAGGTTTCTTCACAGTGAGAGCTGTGAAAATGTGGAATAGACTCCCTCAAGAGTTGGTTCTGGCCGGCTCAGTGGATTGCTTTAAAAAAGTCCTGGATTCTTTCTTGGATACACAGAATATAACTGGATACTAACATTTATAGGTAAAGTTGATCCAGGGAATATCTAATTGCCTCTCGAGGGATCAGGAAGGAATTTTTTTCCCTGAAGGAGCAAATTGGATCATGCTTTGCTGGGTTTTTTTTGCCTTCCACTGGATCAACTGTGGGTGTAAGATTATAACTTTTTTTTTTTTTTAATGGTTGAACTGGATGGACTTTTGTCTTTTTTCAGCCAGACTAACAATGTAGTTTTGGCATTCGAACATTTGTTGGAGTATTATTATTGTGTATGATACATAAATGAGACTTCCCTTCACTTCCTGTCCTGACATGGTTTCAGAGGAACAGAAAGTGATGAGAAATCAAAGTGGGCTTTTAAAAACTTAAGGGTATGTGATCTTCTAGATAATGTTGGTTCCCAGTCCATAAGACACTATTGCTTCTACTGATACCAATGATGGGACATCATTCCTCTTAATGACACCAATGACAGGACACTATTCCCCCCCATTGATACCAATGATAAAGCACGATTACTCTGACTGACACCAATGATGGGGCAGTACTTCTCCCACTAACAACAACAATGGGACATTATTACTCTTACTAATACCAATGAAAGAGCACTTTTCCTCTGACTGGCCCAATAATGGAGTACTACTTTTCCCATTGACATCAGTGATGGGGCACTATTCTTCTTACTAACACCAATGATGGGGCACAATTTCCCTGACTGAGGCCAATGATGGAGCACTACTTTTTCCCCCACGGACACTAATGATGGAGCACTATTCTTCTTACTAACACTATTCCTCCCATTAACACCACTGAGGGTGGTTATTCCTCCTACTTACACTGTTTATGGGGCACTGTGCTTCCCACCAACACCAATGATGGGACATTATTTCCCCAACATACCACAGGTGCTAGGTAATTTTTTACTCCCACTGATCACCAAATGGATATTTTTTGCTCCCAGCAACCACCAAACCTGTTTATTCTCAGGGCTTTTTCTACTGCCACTGACCACTGTCTGCCCCCTCCCCCCTAAAATTTAAAGGTCAGTGAACTGGCTTGATTTTGAGGACTTGTAGCTGACATCCTCATTCTTGCAATATTCAGTGATCATTAACTGGAACATGTACACAAGTCAAGAGTTCACCAGCCAGGCAGATCAATGACTTAGTGCAGGGGTCTCCAAACTATGGCCCTCCACGTGTTGAGGAACTGCAAGTCCCATGCGGCCTTGCAAGACTCTGACAGCCACAGGCAAGACTAGAGGTAGAGGCATGATGGGACTTGTAGTACTTTGACAGCTGGTGGGCCATAGTTTGGAGACCCCTGACTTACTGAATAGTAAAGCAAGGATGAGGATAGGCAATACTTCTATTCTGGAATTTTTTTTTTAGATCAGTAGAAAATGACCCAAACAAACTGGCTGGTCATCCAATTATGCTCAGTAAGGCACAGGCCATACGACAGTGCAATAAAAGACTTTATTGGCTTTATATACAATAAGCTGTCAGCCATTTTTTTGTCAATACATTCATCATAAATAAAGGGCAGACCGTAGATATATTAAGCACAAAGTGAGGTAACAGGAGGCAGTGCTGTGCTCAGTAGTGTTTTGTCTGCTGCTGCTGTTGCCTGTTTGCCATATGCATAAGTCTCCGGAGGAGGTCGCTGGCTGGTCCGTCCATCTGGGTCATATTCTGATCTGGGGAAACTCGCTGCCTCTCGCTGTCTTCATCCAGGCAGCTGGAATCCATAGTGCAACTGTCTGCAGAGTTACAAAAGAAAAGCCAGTTAAAGTGTTCTTTTATATTCCAAAAAAAAACGCCATCCCATTGGATCACGCATGTCATTTAGATATACATCATATTCTGAAAATGGCCTTTTATTGTTTTGAATACTTATATTATTCTGCATCTACATTTTCAACCAAATATGCCTGTCTTCATATGAGGGTCCAGGCACAATCCTCTTAACATTTACCCAAAAAGTAATTTTTCTCAGTAGGATACTACAGATTTCTTATACTTACATGGGAGCAAATACATCAGAAAATTGTCATGTGTGACCTGTATGCTCCAGTATTACTACCTTTGTTTATTCTGCTATGGCTGCCTTTGCCTGCTCTGTTATGGCAGATTATGTTTCATCCACTATTTTTGCTGTTATTTCCCTGTGTTTTCTCCCTGACAGAGTAGACATGTCATCTGAATGTGTGGTTTAAGGCCCCATAGGAGGTGACCTCCAAAAAAACAAAATGTCGGCAAGAAGGTGAAATGAAAAAATGTCTTCTTTATTGTATGCAAGGAGTAAAATATTCCATACAGCAACTAACACGTTTCAGTCAAGAAAAGGCATTATTCATAGCCTATAAGCTATGAATAGGTTGCTCTATGGAATATATTATATTTTAAATTTCACCTTCTTGCCAACGTGATGCATCTCTAGAGGGATCATCAGTAAGAAGAAGGAGGACCTGATTCCTCTATATAGATCTTTAGTTATCACTAGAGAGATCACCAGCAAGAGGAAGGAGGTCCCGATTACTCTACAAAGATCTTTAGTTATCACTGGAGGGGTCACCAGCAGGAGGAAGGAGGTCCTGATTTCCCAATATAGATCTTTAGTTATCACTGGAGGAATTACCAGCAGGAAGAAGGAGGTCCTGATTTCTGTATATAGATCTTTAGTTATCACTAGAGGGATCACCAGCAAGAGGAAGGAGGTCCCGATTACTCTACAAAGATCTTTAGTTATCACTGTAGGGGTCACCAGCAGGAGGAATGAGGTCCTGATTTCCCAATATAGATCTTTAGTTATCACTGGAGGAATTACCAGCAGGAGGAAGGAGGTCCTGATTTCTGTATATAGATCTTTAGTTATCACTAGAGGGATCACCAGCAAGAGGAAGGAGGTCCCGATTACTCTACAAAGATCTTTAGTTATCACTGGAGGGGTCACCAGCAGGAGGAAGGAGGTCCTGATTTCCCAATATAGATCTTTAGTTATCACTGGAGGAATTACCAGCAGGAAGAAGGAGGTCCTGATTTCTGTATATAGATCTTTAGTTATCACTAGAGGAATTACCAGAAGGAAGAAGGAGGTCCTGATTCCTGTATATAGATCTTTAGTTATCATTGGAGGGGTCACCAGCAGGAGGAAGGAGGTCCTGATTTCCCTATATAGATCTTTAGTTATCACTAGAGGGGTCACCAGCAGAAGGAAGGAGGTCCTGATTCCTCTATATAGATCTTTAGTTATCACTAGAGGGGTCACCAGCAGGAGGAAAGAGGTCCTGATTCCTCTATATAGATCTTTAGTTATCACTAGAGGGGTCACAGCAGCAGGAGGAAGGAGGTCCTGATTCCTTTATAGATCTTTAGTTATCACTAGAGGGGTCGCCAACAGGAGGAAGGAGGTCCTGATTCCTTTATAGATCTTTAGTTATCACTAGAGGGGTCGCCAACAGGAGGAAGGAGGTCCTGATTCCTCTATATAAATGTTTAGGTAAACCTCATTTAAAAAAACTATGTCCAGTTCTGGAGATCTCACTTACAAAAAGATATTGATAAGATAGAACAAGTCCAAAAAATGGGTAACAGAAATGGTAAGAGGTCTGGGAGAGAAAACATATCAGGAGATACTTCAAGAACTAAATCTATACAGCTTGGAGGAAAGAAGATAAAGGGGAGATTTGATTAAACAAAGTTCAGGAGGGCAGTATTTTCAATATAATGCCAAGATTGAGAACTTGGGGACATAACGTCAAACTAACTGGAGGAAAGTACAAAACTAATCTTAGAAAGTTTTATTAGTTGATTGCATGGAATAGATTTTCAGCAGAAGTAGTGAGTCCGTCAACAGAAAGTGGGTTCAAACATGCTTGGAACAGATAGCTCTATAAAAGTAAAAAAAAAAAAAAGAAAGGTATATATAACTAAAAAAGGGAGCATACTCGATGGACCATTTGTGGGTTTTTTTTCTGCCACCACTTTTCTATGTTTCTGTGTTTCAGGTAAAGGAAATCCTTCCAGCCTGACTCTTTGGACAGGGAGAGAATACAAGAAAGCAATAAAACATGAGTGACCCCTGAGAAGAAAGGCAGAACTATTATTACAGGTCAAGAGTGCATCTTAAGGTTATTAAACATGCCCATTGACGACTGGTTCTCTTTATGTACACATGAAGGGACCGTGTTTATTGCAGCATTCACTTCATTTTTCCAAGCAAACAATGAATCTTCAAATGGTTAACATCTAGTGGCTGCACCAATGTTCAAAACTTGTTATTTCTTTAACCTCTGGGAACACCAGTTTCCTCCCACACTCCAAAGACATGCTGGTATGTTTTTATGTCTAAATTAGCCTCAGTATGTGTATGTATGAATGTGAGTTAGGGACCTTAGATTGTACACCCCTTGAGGGTTAGGGACTGATGTGAATGTACAATATATATATATGTAAAGTGCTTTGTAAATTGACAGCGCTATATAGGTACTTGTATTAAATAAATAAATTAACAGGAATAGGTCAAGATGTGGATTGCTGACTTATCTTACCAATTAGTGAGTTAGTGGCCTGGTACATGCATGCACTGTACATGTTACGTCTCAGGACACCTGGTATTTATATAAATGCGAGAGTCATCAATGAACGCAGTTCAGTGGCAGCTTTCATATTTCCCAGTAGTGTCCTACTTAAAAGAGAAGTGTGGGTTTTTAGAAAAACAAACATTCATACTTATCTAGGTGGATGTAGCATCTGTCCTGCACCGCCTTTAAGACTGAGAACTGAGCTATCAAAGACTGCTGACCCCTCAGTTCTCAGTCTTCAGTGAGCAAAAAGTGGTGAGTTTCAGTCACTGTCTCTCTGCTCTGCCCCTCCAGCGCTCACTAGAGCCCCAGGCTGTGGAGGGGGCGGGAGCAGCTGGCTCAGGCTCTCAGCAGTATGCTAAGAGGCCGAGCCAGCTGCCAGTCCAGGCATTTTGGCGGATCCCGATATTATTGTCGGGGTCCCTGCAGAGCCTGGACCGGCTCTGTGACATCAGCCAACAGGAGAATTTAGCCCACTGTTGGCAGAATCTTCATCACAGGAGTGCAGAACTAAATCCACTTCTGTGAACCATAGGTGAAGTATGACAAAAAGAGCTTTAACCCTTTGCTGCCAGAGCTGTTTTTGCGTTTTTTAACACACGTTTAAAAAATAATTTTAGGCCTGAAGATTACATAAAACCCCCAAACATTATGTATTTTCTGCAAGTAGACACCCTAGAAAATAAAATAGTGGTAGTTCCAACTTTTTATGTCACAAAGGTTTCTGTAAAAAACACACCAAAGTGAATCTTAGGGCCAATAAATGCAATATATTTATATATAAAAATAAAATAAAAGATGAGGTTTCACTGAGTATATAGATACCCAAAATGTCAAATCTTAAATTTATGTGTTCTCGTGAAACGGCGACAAACTTCAGTGCCCTATATTTTTAATAGACAATGCTTCAAAAGTTTCTACAAGTCATCAGTATGGAGGAGGCATTGTGCTAGAATTATTGCTCTCACTCCGGCATGCATGGCAATATGTACCGTGTATCCCAATCGACGTTTTCATGCATAGGTGCCTCTGAAGCGTGCATTTACACTCGTAGATGCATATATGTAGGGGTGGGGGGACCTGAAATTTTTTTGGGGGAAGGAATTTAGGTGCTTGGGTACAACTTTAATTTTTTGCAATTAAAAAAAAAAAATTTTTTTTGCTTAGCTTTTTTTTTCATCACATAGAGACAGATGTGATGATTTTTAGGTGATGGGTTCTCTTTAATGAGACATCCAGGGTCTAAAAGACCTTTCATGTCTCCTTCCAGATCGCATTGCAATACATTCCTTACTGGCTATGCTAGCTGGAGAAAGTGACAGGGTGACCCGGAAGTGACGTCATACATGTTGCTTTCCAGGTCACCAACAAGAAGGGGAGGGAGAGCAGACACAGGGCATCATGTCAACCCCGGGCCCCCAATTCATTCTGTCTGTAATCTGCTGGTGATCCTGGAACACATCTGCTGGTAATGCTGAGATACACCTGCTGTTGATCCTGGAGCACACCTGCTGGTGATGCTGGAACACAGCTACTGATGATGCTGGAGCACAACTGCTGGTGATGCTGAAACACTCCTGCTGGGGACGCTGAAACATACCTTGTGGTGTTAATGGAACACACCTGCTGGTGATGCTGGAGTTCATCTGCTGGTGATAATGAAACATGAAAGTAAGTGGAGCCAGGAATACATGGTAGGTGCACCATTACCTGGAACATGTGGAAGCAGTTGGGAGGAGTCTGCTTGTCAGATTTACACGGTGGCTACAGCCATCGGATTGTGTGGATCCTCCCACTGTCAGGTCTGTAAGACATATGGACCTGGCAGCGAAAGGGTAAAAAGAGATAAGCAAGCCCAGCAAGGGAAAGCATTCAGCAAGCTACTATTGTGACCCAGTTAATAAAGCAACTGTTAAAAATTCAGAAATATTCCCCCTTTTTTTTTTAATCTAAGTATAAGATCTAAGAATAAACACACAAAGATCCTTAGAAGGTCAGTAAGGGTGTCAAGCCTGCAGCTGTGTTACCACGTGGAGTTCAAAAATCCACTGCCCCCTCCCCTATCAGAGATTGTACTGTGTGCCCATGTCAATGGGGTGACCCAGAGTGAAGATCTATGACAGCCTGGACAGGAAGTGGTTTTAATAAGGCTGATCACCAGTCAAACTTTATTAGCCCGGGTTCACATATATGCAGTGCGGTATATCGCATGTGATTCACACAGGAACCGCACCACATTCCCTGCAAATCACATGCGTTTGTGTGCGGTGCGATTGGAGCCATACATTTTTTATGGCTCTAATCGCACCGCACCCGCACCAAAAACGTGCAGGACCCTTTTTTTTTGATTCGCACTAGAATCGGATCACATGGGTATTCACACCAGGGGCGGACTGAAAACTCATGGGGCTCCCGGGCAATAGGGGATCATGGGGCCCCTGTGTCCTTGCCCAAACTCAAAAAAGCCTATGAAAAAGGTACCAGGGGCATCTCATGGGGCCCCCTACTGACCCCGGGCCCTCGGGCAGTGCCCGAGTTTCAAAATGGTCAGTCCGCCCCTGATTCACACCTATGCAATCTGATTCTGCACATCGCACCGCACTTTGCAGACTGCTTTCTGGGTGTTGTTAACTTAACCCCTAGATGCCAAGTGCACGCAAATATGCGGCCTATCTGCGTCTGGACCTTGATGCTGAGCGGCCGCATATTTGCGTGCCATTAGAAAATATATACGTGCTGAGAGTGCGCGCCCTGCACGCTCCCAACACATATGTCCGTGACTCACAGAAAGCTCCCAATCTCCCCTTGCGATCAGGACCTTTTCCGATCATGTAAATGCCGTGACAGCGAATCACGGCGGTCACATGACCCTAAAACCCCGCCCACCTGAAACCTCATCAGTGTGAACCAGGGCTCAGGACAGAACAGAATTTCTGTTGAAGACGGTGCTGGAAAAGCTGCATTTTTTTATACATATTTGGGTACATTTATTTACAATATATATTTAACTGAATACGTGCTCTAACCACCAGTATGACCGCAATACAAGTAAATGCAAAATGCCCCTTGTTGTGAGAGCTGTAATTAACTATGTAGCAGAAAAAAAAGAATGTGCAACTGTGTGTTCCTAGTTTTTAGACCCGCTGTTAAACAGAAAAATAAGTCAGAGGGCTCTATTTATAACAAAGAAAATGGCACAGCTCTCACAGATATTGTCTTTATTTTGTCTAATATATTTATCTTCTATGATCGTCAGCTCCATCTAGTGGCCATAATGTGGCATTGTTCTGAAAAATACCACATTATGGCCACTAGATGGAGCTGACGATCATAGGAGATAAACATATTAGACACAATATGGGGAATTTTTTGTGACTGCTGTGTGAATGCTTGAGACATTCACTTGGCAAACTAGACTCCGTAGAGTTATGGTCTAGTTAACTGAGCCATAATGATGCTGCAAATTTTGATCTGGATATCTAAACTTAAAATCTAAAATCTAAAAATAAATACTATGGTCATGAAAGGGTTTAATACACCAGCTATTTCCTTTTCCCGACATGCAGACTGTGTTGAGGACACATCAAGAGAACAGCAAGCTAAGCACACGTGTTTTTTTTTCTCTTAATCTTTTTTAACCAGATGAATGATATTCGATTCACATACCGTCATTGCAGCATACCCCCGGAGCAGCACATCGGCCTCCAGCACCGCAGGGCTTTCCACCAGCCTCACAGGGGGAGGGTAAGTAGTTTTCTTCCACACAGCGCAGCGTCTCGGGGGTCCCAATATAACATCCTAAGTCTTCTCCGCAACAGATGTTTGGTCCAAAGCAATTGCCTCTATTCCCTGGGCCACATGGTATGCACTGCAAAGAAAATCCACCCGTCACTAGCGGCATTAACATCAATAACTGCAAGCTTTGAACTATCCTATCTGTCTGACAAATATTCTGACTTGATATCAACTCTGTATGGAAAACAGACGTAGAGCCGTTTTGTATATATCTGCTTTTTTATCACTACGATGAAGTCACTTATTATGGTTAGTGCCAAAAAATAACATTTTTATTTTCTGTTTAATATAAAATCCAACATATTAAAGCAGGACTTAGCTCGAAATTAAACAAATTCAAAGCAAGAATGATTTTTATTGCAGAATAAAAGAAATAAAAGCTTTTTACCCTCCTCCTCGAAATTACTTTGGAATACACAGCTCAATGTACATTCAGGGCACACCTCTGTGCTGTGGTGAATGAAGTCCCATTTGCATGTGTGGGTTGTGTCATCCCAGCCAAACAAAATGATTGGAGACCCCCCCCCCCTCACCCAGAAGAAACAGGGCTTGTGGACATCACATTGTTTGGGAGGGTTGTGAGTATTGGTATCTATGAGGGAACTTGTGGACATCACATTTCTTGCGGGGGGTGAGTGTTAGTGACTATAAGCTCATGGATGTCACATTGCTTGGGGGTGAGTACTGGTGACTATGAGGGAGCTTGTGGACATCACATTGCTTGTGGTGGGTGAGTATTGGTAGCTATGAGGGAGCTTGTGGACATCACATTGCTTGTGGTGGGTGAGTATTGGTACCTATGAGGGAGCTTGTGGACATCACATTGCTTGTGGGGGATGAGTGTTGGTGACTGTAAGCTCATGGATGTCACATTGCTTGAGGGGGTGAGTATTGGTGACTATGAGGGAGCTTGTGGACATAACATTGCTTGCCGTGGGTGAGTATCGGTACCTATGAGGGAGCTTGCGGACATCACATTGCTTGTGGTGGGTGAGTATTGGTTCCTATGAGGCAGCTTGTGGATATCACATTGCTTGTGGTGGGTGAAGGTTGGTGACTGTAAGCTCATGGATGTCACATTGCTTGGGGGGTGAGTATTGGTGACTATGAGGCAGTTTGTGGACATAACATTGCTTGCCGTGGGTGAGTATTGGTACCTATGAGGGAGCTTGCAGACATCACATTGCTTGTAGTGGGTGAGTATTGGTTCCTATGAGGCAGCTTGTGGATATCACATTGCTTGCGGTGGGTGAAGGTTGGTGACTGTAAGCTCATGGATGTCACATTGCTTGGGGGATAAGTATTGGTGACTATGAGGGAGCTTGTGGACATCACATTTCTTGCGGGGGGTGAGTGTTGATGACTGTAAGCCCATGGATGTCACATTGCTTGGGGGGTGAGTACTGGTGACTATGAGGGAGCTTGTGGACATCACATTGCTTGCGGTGGGTGAGTATTGGTTCCTATGAGGGAGCTTGTGGACATCACATTGCTTGTGGGGGGTGAGTGTTGGTGACTGTAAGCTCACGGATGTCACATTGCTTGGGTGATGAGTATTGGTGACTATGAGGGAGCTTGTGGACATAACATTGATTGTGGTGGGTGAGTATTGGTACCTATGAGGGAGCTTGTGGACATCACATTTCTTGCGGGGGGGGGGGTGAGTGTTGGTGACTCTAAGCTCATGGATGTCACATTGCTTGGCGGTGAGTATTGGTGACTATGAGGGAGCTTGTGTACATCACATTGCTTGTGGTGGGTGAGTAATGGTGACTATGAGGAAGCTTGTGGACATCATATTGCTTGTTGGGGGTGAGTATTGGTGACTATGAGGAAGCTTACGGACAGTACATTGCTTGTGGGGGGTGAGTGTTGGTGACTGTAAGCTCATGGATGTCACATTGCTTGGGGGATGAGTATTGGTGACTATGAGGGAGCTTGTGGACATAACATTGGTTGTGGTGGGTGAGATTGGTGACTATGAGGAAGCTTGTGGACATCACATCGCTTGTGGGGGGAGGGGGTTAGTGTTGGTGACTGTAAGCTTATGGATGTCACATTGCTTTGGGGTGAGTATTGGTGACTATGAGGGAGCTTGAGGACATAACATTGCTAGTGAGGGGTGAGTATTGGTTCCTATAAGGGAACTTGCGGACATCACATTGCTTGTGGGGGGTGAGTATTGGTGACTATGAGGAAGCTTGTGGACACCACATTGCTTGTGGGGGGGGTTGAGTGTTGGTGACTGTAAGCTTATGGATGTCACATTGCTTGTGGGGGGTGAGTATTGGTGACTATGAGGAAGCCTGTGGATATAACATTGCTTGGGGAGGGGGTTGAGTGTTGGTGACTGTAAGCTTATGGATGTCACATTGCTTGGGGGGTGAGTATTGGTGACTGTGAGGGAGCTTGTAGACATGACATTGCTTGGGGGGTGAGCAGGATTGTTAACTGTGAGGAAGCTCATGGAGGTCACATTGCTTAGGGAGTGAGTATTGTGACAATGAGGGACCTTGTGGGTGTCAAATTTCTTTGGGGGAAGGTGAGTATTGAAGGGTTTAGTTCAGCTTTAAAATTTTGTCTTCAGAAGTGGGAGCTTACATGTTAACCAATATATCATAAATACTAGCTGAAAAACACGGTTGTATATAGAGCTCAGTAGCTCAAACTGAAATGTTTACACATGAAAGGCAGAACTTCTTCAACCTCATCAGCTATGTAACTAAGAATGAATCTGAGCAGAAACTCATCCCTCTCCTCCATTAAGGTAATCAAATACAGAGTTTCACTCAGAGAGACACAGTCTGAAGGCAACCAGATTTTACTGTTCCCTCTGAGAAAACATTCATGGTGCCCATTGAGCAATGTGTCAGGCTTTGTTGGCACAGCTGTCCATAGACATAGTTACATAGGTATTCAGGTTGAAAAAAGACAAATATTCACATCTCATGAAACTTCGAAGCTGCCATTGCAGACCTCTTCCTTTGAAAAAGCTAGTTGCCTGACTCCCTTTCAGATTCATTAGCTTCAATGCCTTCTTACCTGGAACAAGTAATCAAATTACGAATTTGCTTTGATTGAGGAAAACTGGTTTCAGGTCAGTGACATAGACAAACAGTAGAGATAGCCAAACACCTAGCCTTTTTTTTAAAGGCCAGCAATATATTTTGCAGATATATGGTGATGACTGATGATGAACAAAGTAATAGGGCATTATTTTCACTGACAACCAGTGTAAGAGGGCCCTTCTCCTTCCGACCACTAATTTGGTGTGGCTAATGGAATCTGAAAATTATTTCAAAGGTTCATCCATGGTAAACAAAAAGGTTGAGAAAGACTGCCCTAATATAGCCAAACCTTTTTTAGTGGTGCCATAAAATTGTTCCTAACTGCACAGACATTTGCAAATAAACTCTGACTGCAAACCAAAGCATTTTACAGGCAACTGAATAAAATGATAATCTCATAAGAACATCAACGACATAAGGCACAAACAGGCAGCCTACAGTGGTGGTGGAACTAAAAATTACCAGCATGCAACCCATAGCTAGGACTTGCAATTCTACATAGAGGACTTGCTATTCTCAAGAAGACTGGATACATATGGATTTTCAGTTGTTGGCAATAGTTCTAGCATGCTGGAACTTTGGGTTCCCTGGAGGTTAGGTAATGGTTTTTCATGGTTTCCATCTTTTGGTAAAAAAAAAAAATGTCCAGCCCAAGCTGGGAGTTGTGGTTCTCAAACAAGACACATTTGCTTATTTACTGTTGTGTTTAAATCTCTTGTTATTATCAGTTTTGAATGTCGTTATACAGCTGCTGAGCAGTCGGTGGTCAACATCCACTGCCAGGCTGTAAGTTCTAAAACGGGGTGGACTGACCATTTGGAAACTCGGGCACTGCCCGAGGGCCCGGGTTCAGTAGGGGACCCCATGAGATGCCCCTGGTACCTTTTTTATAGGCTTTTTTGAGTTTGGGCAAGGACACAGGGGCCCCATGATCCGCTATTGCCCGGGGGCCCCATGAGTTGTTAGTCCGCCCCTGTTTCTAAAATGATGGGGCTTATGCTGGCCATACACAGCAATTTCTACCAATTTCAGGCACTTCCTACCAGCTTTCAATCACAATCAAATGAAAGTGCGTGTGTGGCTAACATAAAATTTCAAAGCAGGGTCTATACTATCGGAGACTTATTATAATTATAATTATTATCATTATCGGAAACATTATCAGAGTCTACAGAGACTCTAAGTCAGAGACTTACAATTACAGGAGTCATGTGGTTTTGCTGGAGTTAGAAGCTACATGTTTATGAAAGGTATAGTTCTAGAGTTTGTGGACATCATGTGGTTCTTAAGCTGTGGTAGAATTAAAAAGATACTTTTTTTTGGAAATGTATAGTTCTGCATATGCTGATGTGTATATGGCTGTCCATCTATGGTAGAAATAGAGGTTTCATCTTTCTGAAAGCTATAGTTCTACAACTGTTAGGCATCATGTGGTACCTAAACTATAATGAAATTGTATATCTCCTGTTTCTGAAACTTCTAGTTCTACAACTGCTAGGCATTCTATGGTTCTCCAGCTGTGATGAAACCACAGATCTCATCTTTCTGAAGCATATTGTTCTACAATTGCTAGGCATCAAATTTTCTTCATTTGTAAATAAAATACAAATTACATAATACTGAAAATTATAATTCTACAACTGCTAGGTATAATGTGGTTCCCCAGCTAGGTTGACATTAAAAATATTATCTTCATAAAAGTTATAGTTCTACAACATGTGGTTCAAATTCTGTGGCAGAATTACAAATTTTATCCTTCTGTAGCAAATTATTATGTTATTGCTAAGCACCATATTTTCCAAGCTATGGTAGAACTACAAAATTCATCTTTCTAAAACGTACAGTTCTACAGCTTCTAAGCATCATGTGGTTCTCAAGCTGTGGTAGAACCACAAATCTCATTCTTTTGAGACCTACAGTTCTACGACTGTTAGGCATTATGTAGTTTTCAAGCTGTGGTGGAATTGCAAATCAAATTTTGCTGACATTTATAGTTCTACAGCTGCTGGGTATCATGTGGTTCCTAAACTGTAATGAAATTACAAATCTTCAGTTTCTGAAACATATAGTTCTACAACTGCAAGGTATCATGTGGTTCTCCAGCTGTAGTGGCACCACGAATCTCATCTTTCTGAAACATATTATTCTACACCTACTAGGCATCATATTTACTCTGTAAAGTTGTAATTGAAATACAAATTACATCTTTATGAAAACTGTAATTCTGCAGCTGCTAAGCACCCTGAGGTTCTCCAGTTATGTTAGAACTACAAATCTCATCTTCTTGTACTTAAAGATTCCAAAACTACTAGGCATCATGTGGTACTTCAGCTGTGATGGAACAATAAATCCCATGTTTGTAAGATTTCCAGTTCTACAAGTGCTAGCCATCATGTGGTTGCCAAGCTGTGGTGGAACCACAATTCTCATGTTTCTAAGATTTCCAGTTCCACAACTATAAGGAATCATATGGTTCACAACCAGCTGTGGAATTGCAAATCCAATGTTTCTGAAATATATAGTTTCACATCTGCTTGCATTTATGTGACTATCCAGTTGTGGTAGAACTACAAGTTTCTTCCTATTGAAACATATAGTTCTACAACTGCTAGACATCATGTGGTTCTCAAGCTGTGGTAAAACTACAAATCTCATCTTGTTGAAACATATTGTCCTACAACTGCTAGACATCATATTTTACCCAGCTGTAGCTGAAATAATTTTTTTTTTCAAATATTATAATTCTGCAGCTGCTAGGCATCTAGAGTTTCTCCAGTTAGGTTAGAATCACAAATCTCACCTTTCTAATAAGTATATTTCTACAATTGCTGGGAGCTATGTGGTTGTCAAACAATAATGGGACCATAAACCTCCTATTTCTGAGACTAATATTCTGACAACTGCTAGGCATCAAGTAATTATTCAGCTGTGATGGAACCACAAATCTCATCTGAGACTTATAGTTCTACAATTGCTAGGAATCATGTTGTTCTCAAGCTGTGGTGGAATTACAATTCACATTTAAAAAAAAAAATGTTTAATTTTGCAATAGCCGATGGTTATATTGCTAGCCAGTTCTGACGGAACTACAAGTCTCATCTTTCTGAAACATATAGCTGTACAACTGCTAGGCATTATGCAGTCCCTAAACTGTGAAAAGGTCTTGTTTATGAAACTTATAATTCAACAGTTGCTAGACAAGCATCATTTGGTTCTCCATCTATGGCAGAACTACAAATCCCATCATTCTGTGACTTACCATTCTACAACTACTTAGCATCATGTTGTTTTTCAGCTGTGGTGGAACTACAAATCTCTTCTTTCTGAATCATATTGTTCTACAATGTCTAGGCATTTTCCCCAGCTGTATCTGAAATACAACTTTCATCTTTCTGTAAAGTTTAATTCTACGACTGCTAGGCAACATGTGATTCTCCAGCTGTGGTGGATCCACAATCCTCATATTTCTGGGAGTTACAGTTCTACAACTTCTAGGCAGCATGTGATTCTCCAGCTGTGGTGGATCCACAATCCTCATATTTCTGGGAGTTACAGTTCTACAACTGCTAGGCATCATGTGGTTCTCCAGCTGTGGTGGATCCACAATCCTCATATTTCTGGGAGTTACAGTTCTACAACTGCTAGGCATCATGTGGTTCTCCAGCTGTGGTGGATCCACAATTCTCATATTTCTGGGACTTACAGTTCTACAACTGCTAGGCATCATGTGGTTCTCCAGCTGTGGTGGAATCACAAATCTCATGTTTTGAAGATTTACAGTTCTACAACTTCTAGGCATCATGTGGTTCTCCACCTGGGGTGGAATCACAAATCTTATGTTTCGAAGATTTACAGTTCTACAACTGCTAGGCAGCATGTGGTTCTCAAGCTGTGGTGGAACTACAAATCTCATGTTTCAAGATTTACAGTTCTACAACTGCTAGGTTTCATGTGGTTCTCAAGCTGTGGTAGAATTACAAATCACATTTTTTGTAATGTGAAGTTCTACACTTGCTAGTGTTTATATGGCTATCCAGTTGTGGAAGAACTACTAAACTACTAGTCTCATCTGTCCATATAGTTCTACAGCTGCAAGGCATCATGTGGTTCTCAAGCTGTGGTGGGACCACAAATCTCATGTTTATAAGATTTCCAGTTCTACAGCTGCTAGGCATCATGTGGTTCTCAAGCTGTGGTGGGACCACAAATCTCATGTTTTGAAGATTTATACTTCTACAACTGCTAGGTTTCATGTGGATCTCAAGCTGTGGTAGAATTACAAATCACATTTTTTGTAATGTCAAGTTCTACACTTGCTAGTGTTTTATATGGCTATCCAGTTGTGGAAGAACTACTAAACTACTAGTCTCATCTGTCCATATAGTTCTACAACTGCTAGGCATCATGTGGTTCTCAAGCTGTGGTGGGACCACAAATCTCATGTTTCTAAGATCTCCAGTTCTACAGCTGCTAGGCATCATGTGGTTCTCAAGCTGTGGTGGGACCACAAACCTCATGTTTCTAAGATTTCCAGTTCTACAGCTGCAAGGCATCATGTGGTTCTCAAGCTGTGGTGGGACCACAAATCTCATGTTTATAAGATTTCCAGTTCTACAGCTGCAAGGCATCATGTGGTTCTCAAGCTGTGGTGGGACCACAAATCTCATGTTTCTAAGATTTCCAGTTCTACAGCTGCTAGGCATCATGTGGTTCTCAAGCTGTGGTGGGACCACAAATCTCATGTTTCGAAGATTTACACTTCTACAACTGCTAGGATTCATGTGGTTCTCAAGCAGTGGTAGAATTACAAATCACATTTTTTGTAATGTCTAGTTCTACAATTGCTAGTGTTTATATGGCTATCCAGTTGTGGAAGAACTACTAAACTACTAGTCTCATCTGTCCATATAGTTCTACAACTGCTAGGCATCATGTGGTTCTCAAGCTGTGGTGGGACCACAAATCTCATGTTTCTAAGATTTCTAGTTCTACAGCTGCTAGGCACCATGTGGTTCTCAAGCTGTGGTGGGACCACAAATCTCATGTTTCTAAGATCTCCAGTTCTACAGCTGCTAGGCATCATGTGGTTCTCAAGCTGTGGTGGGACCACAAACCTCATGTTTCTAAGATTTCCAGTTCTACAGCTGCAAGGCATCATGTGGTTCTCAAGCTGTGGTGGGACCACAAATCTCATGTTTATAAGATTTCCAGTTCTACAGCTGCAAGGCATCATGTGGTTCTCAAGCTGTGGTGGGACCACAAATCTCATGTTTCTAAGATTTCCAGTTCTACAGCTGCTAGGCATCATGTGGTTCTCAAGCTGTGGTGGGACCACAAATCTCATGTTTCGAAGATTTACACTTCTACAACTGCTAGGATTCATGTGGTTCTCAAGCAGTGGTAGAATTACAAATCACATTTTTTGTAATGTCTAGTTCTACAATTGCTAGTGTTTATGTGGCTATCCAGTTGTGGAAGAACTACTAAACTACTAGTCTCATCTGTCCATATAGTTTTACAACTGCTAGGCATCATGTGGTTCTCAAGCTGTGGTGGGACCACAAATCTCATGTTTCTAAGATTTCCAGTTCTACAGCTGCTAAACATCATGTGGTTCTCAAGCTGTGGTGGGACCACAAACCTCATGTTTTTCAGATTTCCAGTTCTACAGCTGTTAGGCATCTTGTGGTTCCTAAACTGCAGTGAAATTCTCAATCTCCACTTTCTGCAATTTATAGTTCAACAAATTCTAGGCATTATGTGGTTCCCCCAGCTGAGGCGAAACTACAAGTCTCAACTTTTTGGTACTTATAGTTCTACAACTGCCAGGCATCATGCTACCCAGCTGTGGTGGAACTACAACATCTAGCATGTGCTCTAGCTGCAGATGCAATAGGATATATTACAAAGCATTAAATAAGAAGCAATTTGAAGAGTTTGATACTGCACCTGTCGCACTTCTGTGTCTGGGTAGGACCTCTTGCCTCCTCTTGGGCAGTTCTGGATGTAGCAGGCTGAGGATAAGGCGAGGAGGCACAGGAAGCAAGCAGGAACCGAGGTGTCAGGCATACTGACAGTCTGGAGGTGCAGCAGGCGAATTGTAGGAAGAGAGACTGCTTGTGCAAAGCTGAGGCTGAATGTAATGCTTTCTCCACCTGCCTCAGCTCCCTATTTATACCCCATTCTTTTATTCCTAATGTCTACGTAATTGTTTGTGTCCTATTGTTGTGCAGCCTGTGTTTAGCATCCAAACAATGAGTGACAAGCAATTAACAGAGTCAGGCAAGTCATCCATCTCCGTCATTAGCAGACCTGAGACTATGTGATAAAACCTCTCTAGTACTATATTCTAATGTGCTATTAAAAAAAAAAGTGCACTACAGCTATGTGAATTAATATGCAATAATGTTATATAATGCTGATACTTAATGCCTATAGTAAAACTGTTCATATATTTTTGTGGGCTACATTTTTTGCTTTTGATAAGCATGTGGTCAGTGTTTGTCAGAAATATGATGAATAAAATCTTTGTATTTTGGAATACACTTATATTGTTATAAGTGCGGGAAATAGAAATATTCTGATATACTGCAGGGATGATATTGCTATAGGATCCTAGTACTGCAATGTACATGATACCAAATCTACACAATCTGTTATATTATATTATCACATCTACATTATATACTATATCTACAGCCCACCACTCATAAATTGTAAATAACCCCCCCCCCCGGTCACATCAAATCCAACTTTGAAACCATGCGACTTACAGTGAAGTCGCACGATTTCACAGTCGGGGAACATGTCGATTTCAGATGCGATTTGCAAGACATCTAACAGAGATGTCTATGCAAATCGCACAGAAAGTAGTGCATGTACTACTTTAGAAATCGGTGCGGCTGTGACTTAGTTGGAACCGCACTGATCTAACCGCTGTAATTTCAGATAATAGGGCATGACTTGGCATACGATTTGCAGGTCACATGCCAAGTCGCACCCAGTGAAACCGGGGTGTAAGGCTAGGTTCACATCTGTGCGGTGGGTGCCGCTGCGGATTCGCACAAAAATCTTACCCACACAGAGGAATGTGGACCCGCGGGCGGGTGCCATTAATTCTACTGGCATGCTACCCGCACTGGAAATCACAACCATACTGGGAACCGAGGTTCTCACGTGGGCTGTGTTTTCTGAAGAAGTGCAGGGACTTCTTTCCTGCATGTCCCAGGGCATGGGAGTCAATTCAAATGAATGGGCACTTGTGCCCGCGCAGAACACGGCCTCAGGAATGCGGAGATGTGAACCTAGTCTAAGATAGGCTTTGGGGTTGATTTTCTAAATTGGAGAGTGCAAAATCTGGTGCAGCTGTGCATGGCAGCCAATCAGCTTTTAACTTTAGCTTGTTCAATTAAGCTTTGATAATAAAACCTGGAAGCTGATTGGTTTCTATGCAGAGCTGCACCAGATTTTACACTCTCCAGTTTTAATAAATTAACCCCTTTGAGTTCATATATAGTTGTTTAAAGGGAACATGTCATGTGTGTTACTTTGTAGCAGAGCAGCCTGAAATATCTTTTACATTTTGAAGTCATGCTGTCATTGCTGAGTAATGAACAGTGGAAAAAGTAGTTCTGAAAACTTCATTGTAAATCTTTATAGCAAAATGCTGCATGGAACTGGGAGGTCTGGTCAGCACAGTTTAACCCCTTCCCATCCCTTTAAAAGGTTGTGAAAGCCCAGGGGTGCAGGAAGGACTGACGATCATGTGAGCACTGTGTGTTGGCTGTCACAGTGGTCACATGATGACTAGACAGTCCTGGCAGCTACTGACCGTTAGTAGGGACTGAGAGCTGTTTTTGACAGCATGGTCTTTGTGCAGAAGTGTGCAGTGAGCACAGAAACATCAGCTGCCCAGTGGCGCATCAGTGCGCTTCGTAGATGTTAAAGCCCATCCTTTTGCCACTGCATGTATGTGAGGCCTCTATGACCAAGCCCCCGATGGGTGGGGCGAAACACATCAGGAGCATGGCCAGGGGCGGACTGACAACTCATGGGGCTCCCGTGTAATAGGGGACCATGGGACCCCTGTGTCCTTGCCCAAACTCAAAAAAGCCTATGAAAAGGTACCAGGGGCATCTCATGGGGCCCCCTACTGACCCCGGGCCCTCGGGCAGTGCCCAAGTTTCCAAATGATCAGTCCACCCCTGGGCGTGGCTGGTGCTGTGCTAATGCCACTCCATATACTCAACACGCCTGACTCCTGGGCTTGGTTCTGAATGGTGTCTGCTCCTCCTTACATCATTCAAGACACTGGAATGCTTCTCCCTTCATTCCTTTGCTGGTGGGATTACTTTTCCTTTTGAATCCGACTTTAGAGCAGCGCCACTAAGCTCTATACATGGTATACATAGCAATATGGGGTGGCACAGTGGCTTAGTGGTTAGCACTTCCATCTGGCATTACTAGGGTCGTTGGTTCATATCCCAACCACAGCACCACCTGCCTGGAGTTTGCATGTTCTCCCTGTGCCTGCGTGGGTGTCCTCTGGGTACTCCGGTTTCCTCCCACACACCAAAGACATGCAGGTAGGTTAATTGGCTCCTGTCTAAATTGTCCCTAGTATGTGTATGAATGTGAGTTAGGGACCTTAGATTGTACACCCCTTGAGGGTTAGGGACTGATGTGAATGTACAATATATATGTAAAGTGCTGCATAAATTGACAGCGCTATATAAGTATCTGAAATAAATAAATATACATTTAAATGTGGTGTTTAATTTTTTTTTTTTTAAATCTGCATTTTTCATTTAAATAATAAAACTTGGTGCAGGATAAATCTAATTGTAGAGCCATAGAAATGTTTCCATATCTCCAAATCAGGCAGTTCTTCAAACGTTGGTAGGTGCCTGTAGGACTTGTCTTCTCTTACAGCCTTTGAGAAGGTCTTTTTAGACAATTCCCAGGGCACTGACTTGACCTGTCTAGTGTACTCCTTGTTACTTTCTACAATTCACAGCCCCACCCCCTACCTTTATTATGCATAATAATGGAAAAGAATTTTTAGCAAACCTATCACAAAATTGAAGCCAGATCTGGGCTACCACAACCAAATACTCAATGCATGTATTGACCGTGGAGACCAACTACAAACTCCTGTTCTGATGGTACCTGGTTCCCTTATGGATATCTTGCACCATATTTCTTATCCATTTTTAGCACCCTCCTGTGACGGACGCGGCGTCAGACCCCCAGCCCTTCTCACCAACTTGTGACCGAAGGACTAGCCAATCTAAAACTGCGCTGTCACATGCGTAACAATACCACGCTCAGCTGCACCCTACACAAAGATTTTCCAGCTAATGGACCACAATATATGTACCGCAGCCTGAGAGCGATTGTTACTGGGTCAGGTTAATTATGCAATTAACCCTTCACACTGCCACCACCACCTTTTTGTACAGAGTAGGAGGAAACTCACCAATCTTAGCAGTAACACTGCGATGTTTGAATTAGTGTCTCTATACACACTGTCACCGCAGGCAGATGTATGCAGAAGTTTAAAAACACACAGTAGCGTTCTTCAGAGACAGGGATTCTTAGTTTGCATTAAAGAGCTTTAGAAACAGTTCAAGACTTTTCAGAAAATAGGATTTATTACTAAAAAGGTCAAAATGGTGCAATAAAATTATTTACAGAAAAAGATATAGCCAATATATATATATATAAATACAGAGAGCAATACCACACACAGAGAGATAACAGAAATAAGTTTAAAGAGGTAGAATACTTGCCGTCAGCCTTGGTTTAAGCAGATCAAGGTCCTGGACAAAAGTGTACTGTTTTCCCAATTAGCTCCTTACCTGAGACTGTTCATCTTAAAGTGGCACTTGATCCCCTTACCCAAGGATTCCTCCAGATAGCTGGATAATAAGAGGATTTATCTGGGGTCTGGGATGGTACACCAGGAGAGGCTGTAGAGCTCTCCAAGAAGAGAAGTTCTGTCTTTGGACTTGTATATAGTTCCAGGAAGTTGTCCTCAGTTTGTATTTCCCTTGGGCATCCCATACACCCCTTACCCTATCCAAGGTATTAACCCCTTTAATAAAATCACAAAAAAACAAGCTCAAAGACTGTTTATTGTCTCCTGAGTGCAAGATTCTGAAGGAAATGTGTGTTGCTGGGCTGTGTAGGACCACAGGGGGACCCAAATCTTAAGCAACTCCTAAGGCGGTAGTGCTACACATTGTTTTGTTTTTAGAGGTCTACAGAGTGAGGGTACTTTTCTGATACATTTGGTGGGATATCCCAAAAGGTCAAAGGTTTTTGGATAAGTTTATCAAAACCTGTATATGGTTAGGCCATATTTTTACAAAGGCCAAGAAAGTTACAGCTAGAGATTGGAAGACTCCCGACATGTGATTTCTTTGCATAGTGAAGCTTTACCTCATTTACTAAGCTCTGGAGCAACTGCGCTTACAGTGCACAGTATATTTGCTTTTAGTAAATCAACCCCATTGTGTATTACACTATATCCTTTGCAGGAACTGGAGAAGAAAATTTTGGGTTATGTTTTGATGAGTGAGCTGAGTTTAGAAATGATTCAGCCGTGTTGATTTTATTTGCATAATTTTATATTAATTTTTGTGATAAAAATATACAGTATACTTTATATCCACTTCCAGACTAATGCAGGCCATAGATGGGTCGAAAATCGGTCGATTTTTCGGCCGAAAATGAAATCAGCCGATTTTCGGATCGTTAGTGGGCTAAATGTTCAGCTGTTTTTCGGTATTTTGGCAGATTTTTTTTATCGGTAAAGTTGGAAAAAAAAATCGGCCGATTTTGCTGATCGGCCGATTTTCGCGGCAATGATGGGCAAATCAGCCGATCTTTTACCGATAAAAAAATCTGCGCATGAGCAGTGACCTGCAAGAGGAAGACAAAAAGAAGAAGAAAAAAGAAGAACAGGATGAAGAAGAAGAGGAAGAGGATGAAGAAGAGGATGAAGAAAGAGGATGAAGAAGAAAAGGAAGAAGGAGAAGGGGAAGAGAAGAAGATGATGAAGAAGA